CACCGTCCGTGTGTAAAGGATACCATTGATCTTGCAATTTGCCGTCGACCAGAATTGGCTTCACCCGAACACTTCCTAGCAAAAGATCCGGCGCGCCGATTCCCCGCTGATACACTGAAATTGTGACCTCAGCTTCACGCGATACATCGCTATCCAAAAAAACATATAGGGCACAGTCAGCTTTGGTCCTATTCCATGGAGCGGGGAAAACCCAGCGCCTTACTTACAAGTGCGCTCGATGACCCCACACAACGGTCCTGCTTCCTGGATTAGCTTCCTTGGCCGCGACAAGAATCTCATTCTTGTCGAAATCAATAACAACGTACGGCAGGCGCGTGACATCAGCACCCACCCCGCTGCCAATCTGCAAAGCGGAGCCATTCGGCAGCACCAGGTTCCGCGCCTCCACCACCCGCACGAGCAACAGACCCGAGCCGCCAAGTTGAGGTGCGCCGCCGCCCGGTGCTTGCGGAGTCGAAATTTTATTCGCTGCGATGGGCGCTGCGGATGATGCGACGACAGGCGTGGCGTTTGGCGATGCGCGCGGAGCAGTGGCAGAGGAGGATTGGTCGGCGGATGCTGGGCGGAGACCCGAGCTGGTTTTGGGCGCTGTTGAGTTGTCTGCAGCAGGTTTCTTCTTGAACATTATCGGAGTCTATTTGGTAAAAGCGGTTGAAGATGGCAGGCTCAAGTTCTTTTGCTGCTGAAAAAGGAGAAATCTCTGGGCGATCGCAGTTCTCTTGTTCACAAAAGCTTCCATGGCGCTTGCCTTACATTGCCACATCCTTAATCAGCATTGTCATTGGTCGCCTGCGCACTGCTATAAATATGAGCTTGCCCGAGCTGTCGGAAATTCTACACGAAAGCAACCATCGGAGGGCGCATGCTTGTGGCGGTGCAGGTTAATGAGTTCCCCGTCTCGCTCTCGCTCTCAAACCTTTCAGCACTTGTCTGCGGCCTACACCCACGATGAGAGTCGCAATAGAAGGTTGCTGCCACGGCGAGCTCGACCGCATATACGCCTCGCTTGCAAACTTGCAGCGCGTCGAAAAGTTTACGGTTGATTTGCTGCTCATTTGCGGGGACTTCCAGGTACTTTGCAGTTTTTCAGAAACAGACGAAAGTTTCTGCAGCAACGAGAACTTCGGGAGGAGTCGCCTGAGCCAGCGGCACTATGGTAGTGCTTCTGCGAAGAGCTCACGTTCCATGTGCTTGTTTTCTTTCATTCTGTAGTCAATCCGAAATTCTGGAGATCTCAGTTCGCTTGCTTGCCCAGACAAGTACCGCGCGCTTGGTACTTTTTACAAGTATTACTCTGGCGAGAAGCGAGCTCCGATTCCGACTATCTTCATTGGCGGCAATCACGAGGCGTCTGCGTTTCTTTGGGAGCTGTAAGTCCGTCTCTATCTTGGGGAGATGCGAGAACCCTACCCACATGGGTCCAAATGCTAACTCCCGTTGCTATATTCTTCTCTAGCTATCACGGAGGATGGGTTGCGCCGAATATATACTACCTAGGCTTTGCGGGTGTGGTGAATTTTGGAGGCCTGCGCATTAGTGGGCTTTCAGGGATATTCAAAAAGGCAGACTATGACTGTGGTAAGCGAGGTTGCCCGGTTGGGGACAAAGTGTAATGTAATAGACTAAGCGAGTATCGTTACCACCTACAGGATATTTTGAAAGGCAACCATTCAACGACAGTCATATCCGGTCCGTATATCACGTTCGCAAGTTCAATGTGTATCGCTTGGCGCAGGTAAGCCAGGCTACGAGAATCTCGTCCGTTCGCTGTCTGTAATCCCTGACCCTGTCTTCGCGTGGAAAGATACGGCAACCGATCGACATTATGCTATCGCACGACTGGCCGCGCGGAATTGCTATGCACGGAAACACCAGGCAACTTGTGACGAACAAACCGTTCTTAGCGGGCGAGGTAGCGAAGAGCAGGTAGATGCCGGCCTAGCAGTATGCCTTTCTTACAGCTCTCTGTCCCCCCTGATAAACAGATCAACACAAATACCCTGGGCAGCTACCCTAGCGAGTTTCTTCTGAAGCGTCTTCGGCCAGCGTACTGGTTCGCTGCGCATCTTCACGTTAAATTTGCGGCAATATATAATCATGAGCAGACTGCTGCGGTGCTCCCGCAACCTCCGCCGGTTGAAAAAAACGTTGCAGCAGCCATGGTGGAAAATCCTGATGAAATTGCTATCTTAAGCGAAGATGACTCCGAGCCGATAGTTGTGGCAGATGACGATGCACAAACACATGGGAACGAGGACGCCACTAAACCAGATTCGGCGGAGTCGAAGGAAGAGATTAGCGCGGCACAACCTGGCGACAGTGACGCGGCCAAACCGGAGGCTATGGATACCGATGGCGCTGCGACGTCCCCGCCGGGGAGTCCCGAAGTAGCCCGGGCTGACGCAAAGCAACGCGCCAAATTTACAAAGTTCCTTGCACTTGACAAATGCTTGCCTAACCATGACTTTCTCCAGGTAAGGGCGCTGCATGTGATGGCAGATGGGTTGAGCATGTGCAATGCGTTTTGACATAGCTTTTGCGTATGCCACAGATCGTGAATTTCCCGGAAGCGGACGATTCATCACTGTTCCTCAGCTACGATGAAGAATGGCTGGCCATTATGCGCGCAACCCACGATCTGTTCTCTGCGTCAAAGGAACAAAAAAAGGTTCCTGAGGACAGCGAGATTGCTAGGCGCATTGCCGAGGACCTGCAATGGGTACAAGAAAACGTTCCCGATTTGCGAGTCCCGCATAATTTCGTCATCACGTCGCCCGCGCATGTCCCACCCGCCAACCCCGGCAGTAAGGCACCACGCGCCACGCGGTCAGGCAAACCATATCTCAATCCCCAGACCACGGCCTTGTGCGAATTGCTTGGGCTCAAAAATAACATCAATGTTGGAGGGCTGGCACCGGGAGCCGTTGACCCGGCACTAGCGCCGCCGCCACCACCGCCACCGCCACCGCCAAAGGGCACGCCAAAGGCCAAGCGTGTTAAGATTCAACTGCCTCTGCCCACTAAGGCGGACCCGATGGAGGAACTCCCGGATGTTGTTGGACCTGTAGAGGCGGATAAGGATGTACAACCACCGCCGCCGGAATCAACGGCAGAGTCTGCTGGTGAGGGTGAAGTGACGGAAACGATTGACCTCGGTAAGCCACGGCGCTGCACGGTTGCTTATGTGAGAAGATCTGGTGTGCGTGCCACTGTCCTGACCACATTATGTTATCGACAAACATAATTTTCAGCTTCTACGATGCCTCAAGAATCTGTGGAAGCAGTAGCATCCTATGCGGACAACGACGAGCCGGAGTATCGCGATTACAAGACAGAAGAGGACGATTCCGAAGGAGTTGAGGAAGGGGAAGCGGAGACTGATGACGAGCAAAGGGCAAAGGCTCTACCGGTGAGCGATGAAGTCCTCTTTCTGACAAGGTTTTTGGGGAAGGGAGAAGATGGTGAAGATGAAGCTAGCGATGAGGAGTCGGATGATGACGAAGGAGAAGAAAGCAAACCCTCGGATGTCACTTTTAGTATTGACAAAAAAGGGTCCTCGCCATCTTGAAAAAGGGTCAGAGGTTAGCTTAGAATTGTAGACACACTGCAGAATAAGCTGGAAAAATTTACGGGGGGCATATAAATTGATATTTTGCACACGGCAAGAATGTGGTACAATAAAGAAGGGATTTCTGCACCGCGCATGCCTCACTTACCTTCGGGGCATGTTGAGAGAAAAGAAAAGAATTAGATGAAAATTGCGCTGGTGTTTTCCAAAGTAAAACCAGCAGTTAAGGAGAGATTGTTGCCAAATAGCACCGATCTTTCGAAAGAATGCTTCATGGCCCGAGCGCGGGGTACATAGCCGCCCAACTACTTGTCTCAAGTTCAGAACGTGTCTTCGGATTCCACCTAACTACCCGCTCAGCCGCCACCAGCAGTCCAGTGGATCTGCCTTTTTATTCGGTCAACATCCCTGAGCCCGGACAGATCTTCCGACACAGCAACAGTTCTGCCATCTAAAACGATATACAGGCTGGCAGGCGGCTGGCAGGCGGCTGACCGGTCTCCTTGTTGTTACCGAAATTGGCGGCAAGACTCCTCTGTGCTGTCGAAACCAACCTTGCCACTTCGGGTGCGAACGGAGGCCTCCCGGGTGCGAACGGCTGGGCACTTGATTACGCAAAGAGGTGGGATCGGTTGGGCACTTGCTTGAGGGTCTGACTGTAGGTGCATCCGGCTTGCTCTCCATCATCTCCGCCAATCCTCCATCCAGGTGTCGTCGGTAATGGCCAGCGCCATGAACCTGGCAGCGTCCTTGCGGCCTGGTTACAATCCCTTAAAGCGATTGGTCCGCGAGGTTGCTCCTGAAGGCGCAACCGACGACACCTGGATGGAGGATCCCACGCCGAGTCGGAAGGTGTCTACCGAAGAAAAGTGTTCAGCACCAATATCCAGTGCGCTCATCTCGAGCGGTCATGGCGACTCGAGAGAGCGAGGCTGGAAGGGAGGCCGTCTTCTGGAAATCCTCAGAAAAGTGAACCTGAAATTTGCAGATGACGGCGATGGTATTGAGCTGGATTTTTCAATAAAGTGTAGCTGAGCGAACGGGGCTTGAATAAGAACTCAGGACAACAGGCACGCATAGAGTTCGGCTTCCTCGGACTGGCGAATGAAAGAATGGAAAGCAACAACGGAGCTGTCAGTGCGGCCATGTCATGCATGCATACTTGGGCACGGTCAGACGAGCTCAAAATGGCGCTGCCCTGGCTCGTTTGCGAGTACGTTCAGGCGGCTGGGAGCCCGAGCGGGAGCGGCGGAGCATTGCAGGGTGCGGTGGAAAGCTTTAAGGTTGGTGCAGAAGGAATGAATGGTCGATGGGGGGTTCTTTCAGACAGCAATCCCTCACTATAGTGAGGCACGTGAGTGAGGAAGACAGCACCCAATGTAACCAAAAACGTCTTGGCTATTGTATCCGGGCCCTCGTGGCGAAATTGGTATCGCGTGCCCCTCCTAAGGGCAAGATTGCGGGTTCGATCCCCGTCGGGGGTGCAAAGTTTTTTCCTGGTACCGGGAAATCTAGACGAATAGTAAAGTAATGTCCCTAGAATCTCTCTTTTTTTATCCAGAGCATGTCCACTCACGCATTGCTATGGGATAAGGCATATGGGGACGACATTCATAGAAAAAGAGTTGGGAACTGGGAAGTCTTTTGATCTTCAGTCCTCGGCTGCGCGCTTAGCGCTTTCCGCCCGTCGAAGCGTTCAAGTCATTCCGAGTCGCGCTCAATTAAACAATGTCTGAAGAAGCAACCAAGCCAACCGCACCAGAGCCGGCAGAGGATGTCGAGGAGCAGGAGGCTGTCGAGACGGGCGTTCGTGGTCAGGCAAACAAGGATATGCAGAATGTTGCGGGCTTTGACGCAGACGACAATGGCGCCCACGTTGACGCAGACAAGCTGGGCAAGGTAGGAAAGGCACAACAAAAAGAAATTGGCTTATATAGTGGTGCCATGCACTCGATCACCCGAGAAAAAGGGGTGAAGTCTTGCGGGCAATAAACCTGAGTTCGTGTTTTTAGACAATGTCGTTTTTGAGCGAGGCTAGCCAGCAGCAAAAAGATCAGAAATCCGCGCGGGATAAGGAGCTCGCCAAGGTGACGATCGGCAAGGAGGACATTGAGCTTGTGGTATGTGATGAAAGGACCTTTTTACCGCGCTTGAGACGGGCTCTGCGGATGTTAACAAAACTCGTGCTGTTAATCGTTTTGCAGAGCAATGAATTTCAAATTACAAAGGCGCAAGCAGAGGTTGCGCTGCGGGAAAACAAAGGCGATGTGAGCAGCACCCTGCGCAAGCTTGTGTCTGTAGCGTGAGCGAGCAGGGGAACGAGTGGGGCGACATTGGGTGTGCTTCGGGTTACGACAAGTTACGCTGGTTAATGAGAAATTGCCGTAGGCGTATGCGCGAACCCCTGGGCGCTGGTAAAATATTCGCATCTTAAAGCCCTCGTCCTCGCACACAGTCTTATTATATATATAGTTCTGCTTCAAGTCTTTTGAATATGTGGGCCCCACTACAAAGGTCCCGATTTAAATGGTTCTCTATACCTCTCTTCAAAGCGACCCCTTAGAAGCCGCAGCGTCCCTCACTTTCTTCTTCAAGTCATCAATGATGTCCAGCTGGCTCTGGATGAACCGCACCGCCTCCTTCCGCTTCGCACGCGCGCGGTCAAAGCCCGGCGCACACGTAACGCCATCGAGCTTGATCATGCGCTGCAAAAGCACTTCACCCGCCTTTGCATGCAAATCGCGCAGCTGCTTCGTAGGCACGCTGTCGGATGTCGCGTTTGCGATGTAGGCCGTGGCCTGCTCGACATACTGCTGCACAATGGGGAGCGCAATCTCGCGGACGTGCGCAAGGTGACCTTCTATGCCTGCAATGATGCCATCTTCAGACTCATCGACTGGCGCGGCAGCGGGTGGTGGAACGGGGTTGGGACGACTAGGTTGCGGTGATGCGGACGCAGTCCTGGTGCGAGTCGCTGCTGGAGGAGGTGTGGGTGTCGGAGTTGGAGTGTGGTCGGACGGGCGCGACGAAGAACGATCATTAACACCGTCGGTGCGGGTACGCTTTGCCGGTGGCGGGGAAGGAGCGGCAACCGGTTGGCTCTGAGTAAAAAACCGCATTAATAGAATGCATATTCGCTTTTTCAAGACACATTTATTAAAGAGCATACCCTGTTGTCATCGCGCATCAAAATCTTGGCACCCCGCTTGATTCCATAGGAAGACAGAGTAGCGTTCAGGTCCTTCATAACGGCTGTCGACGCAGATACAAGCAAAGACGTTAGCACTTGTCTTGAAGAATCACTGCAAGCTGCACTTGCTTCGCCTTTGTTCTCACCTCCTCCGTAGGACAGCTTAATGTAGTCCTTGGGCACTTTGGAACCCTGGCTACACTTGTTCACGAGATCACCGAGCGTAGCTCGTTTGGCCCAGCCGTTGGGCGAGCTGTCCCCCTCTCGGTGGGCGCGCTGAATGGCCTCATTGAAGGGCACGTCGAAGGGTTCTCCCTGCCAGGTAACAACGACGGACATGATGAATTGCAGGTGGTATTGCCGTTGGCTGGTAATGGATGCGGGTTGACAAGATAGCACGGTGGGGACGGGGGATGACACAGCTATTAACGGTAGTCGGAAAACGTGCCTTGCTCGGCCACCGCGTAGAAATACAAAGAGAGGTCGGTACCGGTAATTGATAGCTGCGTTTATCCTAGATCTAGGATCCTACTATCCGTGCCTTTCGTCCTTTCGGTGGAAACGATCGCTGCGACATCGACCCCACAGTGAACATGCACGACAACAACGACTACCTGAACCATCCGCTCAGCGTCATAGACGCCCAGCTCAAAGGTTTGTGCATTGTGGCTGCCGTGCGCATGTTCTCGTACTTTTTCTCACCATCAAGGCATGCGCTTTATTCCAGCACACCCAGACTGCCCGGTTGACGATCTCTCCGCCCACTTTTCTGCCTTCTTTAGCTCGCCTGCTGCCCTCGCTTCCATCCCATTGTTCACCGCTGCTTCGTCACATACGCTCACTAACGGCGCTTTAGTCCGCTTCCGCTGCTTCGTGCAGGACAACTCGTTCAACCCGCAAGAGTACTTTCGCCACGTATCTATCCGCAATGCGACAACTGGCGCGGTGGAAACGCGTCCAACAGTCTTCCGGGATACGTTGCCGGAGAAAGAGGGCTTCACGGCACAGGAACCTGACATGCGTCGTTTCACGCCCGACCTCGTCGGCGAGAAACATCCCGTCTACTGCGTAGCCATACCTGGCGAAAATGAATGGATCAGAGCGGCATCAGCTGCGGAGCAGAGCGATGCGCTGGCTAATGATATGGCGGGCTTGAGAATTGCAGATCAGCAGTCGCAATCACGGGCATTGCCTGGAAAACTTCCGGACCCAACATCCCCGCATGCTGTCGGCGCTCTAGTCAAGACATATGGTGTCGACCCATCTTTCCGCCTCAACGATGTGATTGATGTGGTTGGCGTGATTGAGCGTGCGCCCCTGTCAGCTGACCCAACTGACGACGATCCGATGACTGATGTGGCCGAGAGCGCAGCATTTGCTGCAGTGCCACGAATTCACGCGATCTTTTACAAGCGTCTTGCTGGTCCGGAACTGGATAATGTGAGCCTAACATCTGAGAGTGAGGTGGACTTGGGAAATTGGAGAGCCGAGATTGTCACACTGCTTGCACAATATTTGGCCGGTGACACGCTTGCTGCCGAGTACTTGCTGCTTCACATGCTTTCCAAGATGTAAGGGATACGAACGTGTGTAGAGTGGCAATTGGAGTTCTTGCTTACTCACTCGTTCTCTGATTATCTAGCGACCATCGTTCACCGGATGACAGTGCAATAGGTTATCTCCCGCTCAACATTTCGAATTGCATCGTCGACCCGGCGTTCACCTCTGTCTTGTATGCCTTCCTCTCATCCATACTCCCGCGCACGCACCGCTTGCATATGACCCTCGAACACCTCAACACCCGCGCTCGTATGGCACCCGTACAAGCCACAGCAGACTTACCCACCGACATTGGCCTGCAGGCTGGCGAGTTGCAACTCGCTACGGGAACGCTGGTGCTAATCGACGAAGCAGACCTGCGTGACGGCACGCTCAACGAACGCGGCGTGCGAAACATCCAGCACCTTTCCACCGCCATTCGTTCCGCGCGCTTGCCGTGCCTCATCCCGTATGGCGAAATCAGCCAGGACATTGATCTGCGGTTCCTGGTTCTTTCGCAAGGAAAATGTATGTTTGGAATCGACTGCATTGTGCCGCTTGTCCCGGCGCAGGCAGGTAATACGCCACCCGCGCCTGTGGAAGTGGACTCAGCGTTGTTAGCGCGTACCCGCACGCTTCTTGCGACCGCGCAACACGCGCCGTACTCGATCCCACAAGCGATGGTTGACGTGATTGGCATGGATTACTCGGCGCAGCGTGCGGCGGCGCCGCTTAAAGGTGCTGTGGATATGGGTGACTTAAGCCGGCGGCTCGAGGTTGCAAAGCTGTTGTGTCGGTCATTAGGCAAACATGAGCTGGGCAAAGAAGAGTGGGAGTGGGCGGGCAGGTTGGAGGACGAGCGCAGGATGCGGGTAGGAGTGAAAAAAGCGCCGGCCGCAGCCACTGCCGCGGCTGCTCCGCAAGTGGAGGTTGCTGGCCGCTAAGCTTTGTCGAGCTATGTTGATGATTAGCAGCGCTGGTGCCCGGATCTGTTATGTCTAAGCAAAAAACACGAATTTATTAGTTCGGTTCAAAAAAAGCCCTGCCCTAAGCGACGCGGTTTATTCGCTTAATTTGTAGTCCGTTTGGCCCTCTCGATTCTTTGACATGCCCCACTGCTCTGCATCCACGGCCGCTTGGGGAGACGCAGCTCGCATATCCGCGCCGTTCGTTTATTACCAGGCATGCGGCAGCTGCACTTTGGGACCGAAATGATCGGCAGTCGCCAAAAACAAGCCCTAACCTGTGGTCGCCTTGTTCACCATCCCAGTGCCCCTGCCGAAACCTGAGCGCTTCTCAGAATAACGTCCTTAGCTTCGAATCGCTCACGCAGCCGCCGCAGAGCGCCGATATCCTCACCCTCTTTCCATTGCCTCGCCTTTATTTTTGCGAAGAGTGCGCCCGCTTGTGCTGTCCGCTATGCGTAACAGAAGTGATCGCATGTTACTATTGCCCAAACTGTCTTTTCGAGGTACCCACGGCGTCTGTGAAAGCAGAACGGAATCGATGTGGGCGCAACTGCTTTGAGTGTCCGGTTTGCGAGAACACACTCAGCGTCGTGTCGATGGTCGAGCCGACGCCACTCGCTGGTGCAGATGGCGGCCCAAGCGCGGGAGTGCCGCCGGCCTCACCAGGTGGCGGTGGAAGCAGCAGCAACAACACCCATTATCTGACTTGCGGCGCGTGCCGTTGGGATTCGCTAGAGGTTGGGCTGCAATTTGAACGCCCAACAGGGCTTGCCTCGCAGCTGCAACC